TTGACAGCTAAAAACAAGGGAAAAAAAACGTTGTCCATTAGTTAAACTATTTTGTCAATTATCAAAATTATAATTGTAATTAAGATTATTGCACGAACTATTAATATACTAATCCATTCATACAATTTCGTGCTTATAGTCTTCTCTTTCCACTATGCGCATCGATTATCTCTACATAGGATAATTCGATCATCACAGAAAATATTCAATTCGTATAAGAATTAAATTTCCCATTGGCTGTATTAAACAACGGAATACATTATCGCTAAAATTAAATTTTAAAGTTCGAATTCGGCGAGGAAAAAAACGATGGCAATCAATTGCATCAGCATCCATTAAATAAAAACTGATGATGGGTTAAAAGGTTTGCATTTAAACATCAAATATGTATGATTTATAATTTTAAAGTGAATCTGGAGGAGAAGAACTTGTAACATTATAAATTTAATACTGACACGATTCTTGTTCTCTAATGGAAAATAAATTCACGGATTTAATATCAATCGCTTGCTCTCTCCACATATTTTATCATCAGTTTAGGAGTAATTTCGATGGGGTTATTTGTTCAGAAATTATTGATTTAATTTCGAAAATTATTTACAAGTATACAAGGCTCTTTATATATGTAATTTATTGAATTTTGGGCATTTTATTTTCACTGAATATAATCCAAATTCAAATCTGCATTTATGAAATTTTAAATACGTTGTTATTTTTGGTTCATTTCTATTTAAATAAACAAAACGTAAAATATACACTCAATTATTTAAAAAATTATTAATATGAAAAACAAAGAATTCTTTGTATTATAAAAATTTAAAATCTACAACTTTAAACTTCCGAAATTTCATAAAAACACGAACCCATATTCGACTGCGATTACATTTTTAAAATGCGCAAAATATTTTAAAAGAATTATTATTTAAAAGCGCATAAATTTCATTTCTAAAACGTCATCGATTAAAGTAGCTTACATTAATTGAGTATTTACTTAAATATCTACGGCTTGAACAAGAGCATCTAACTGAGGGAAAGGTCTAACTCCACATAATCTAAATGCAAATAGAAAAACGAGTAAAATTTCTTTATTATTTTAATGTACAGCTAAAAGCACTCTCAACACGGCGATACCTCGTATATTAAAAGCCATTATGAAAACCGTTATTTTCAAGACGACATACAAATTTTAGTACATGTAGAATAAATGTAATTTAATTCCGCTTAGTAGTGACGTGTTGTAGTTCCTTGGTCAAGGACATCAAAAATGATGTACGAGAAGAGCGAATCGAGTAAGTTTCCTTGCTATATAAACTGTTTCTGCAATTTTTTTAAAGTAAATTTAAATGTACCGGTTTTTTTTGGTGATGATCAATTTATTTTGTCTTACTATTCTAAATTATAAAAAGTTTTTTAATTAATTTATTTAAAACAGATTTTATAGAGATAAGAGATCACAGTCGATTAAACATGCTCAGACGATCTAAATTAATCTCTGTTCTAAAAATATAAATTAGTGGAAAAAACATTTACGTCTCATTAGATAGTTTAAAATTTGTTTTATTATAAATAAAATTCTGTAGAAACAATTAGTTAGAATTATTTGTACGTAATATTACCAAGGAAATAAAAATATTTTTAAAAGATCAAGCAGATTAAAATTAAAGCTATCTCAAAGTACACTTTAGAATTTAATTTTTGTTTATTGTTTGATACAGCGTTTCTATCATTGTTAATAATAAGCTACACGTTTGTTTAATTAATTTAACCAAAGTTAAATATCAAAGTATTCAAAAGCACACTGCAATTTCGCGTGTATAAGGTAAAGGAACATGAATGCATTATAATTTATAAAAAGCTACTTGACCTTAGCCCCGGAGAAAATATGAACTATTTTTCTTCGCTCTAACGATGATGCAATATTACTAGGAAGTAGACTATACCTGCTTTTCGTATTGGATTCAAAATAGAATTTTTACCCGGCATTACACCGATAATTTTTAGAAAGATTAGGCATGACACAGCAGAACATTTTCTCATTTAAGCGTTTCTTTACTACTGTATCATTTACGAAACTTATTACATAAACAGAATATCATGTAAACACGCAAAAAAGAAAAGAAAAAGAAAAAAAATAATCGAAAAGATTTTCAGCTGGAATTCTATACATTTTTATATTAAGAATTACATAAATCTATTAAGAGACTTGGTTCATTACATTCGCACAATGGAAACAGATAACATCAATGAATAATGACTATCAAGACAATGCTCTCGTATCATTAGCATTCACTCGAAATATAGTATTTGAAATTACACAATTTAAACATTTTAAAAATTAATAGTTTATATGAATGCCGCATAACAATGATCTGAAAAACTTCTTATGCCAATTACTGCAGTACGTAGAACTCTCCCAATTCGTTTAAGAAAAAGACATTAAAAAAGAAACAACCTACAAGTTACAACGTTTAAACCATCTTTAAAATAAACACCAAAATAAATGCTAGAGAAACTGATCTAGTTATTTACTTGACCAAGCTATCAATCGTAGACAGAACGTCTGTTTAACCCTAGATTGCCATCATCAATCATAAGACAATATAGGAAGTCTCGGATGATCCACAATTTCCAATCTACCTTGCAGGCATTATATTCTCTCGCAGGTTACTCGTCTATATCTATCTCGCAACAATACATACACGATATACTTTCTTGATCGATAGGAAAAGTAATTAATGGGAGGGGGTGGGAAAAGTTGAAATAAACATTTTTATCAAGAAACTTCTTTTAGCGGGAAGATTGCCTTATGTCAAGTAAAATTATTCCAAACATATCAGACGACAGAATGGATGGCACCCAACAACAAATAACACATTAAATAATTCCGACAGAACGGTTATGTACTGAAGTAACCCGTTAACCTAATAACCGTGATCGACAAACGGGGGTGAAACAGGAGATTATTCCCATCCACGCACCAAACCGGACGAGAGGAACGTTCGGTCACGAAGAGTAGAAGATTTAATAGTAACAACAAAGACGAGCTCTATAAATACTGAATAATCGACTGTATGAGTGTGTGTGTGTATATATATATATATATATATAATACACACACACATATATATATATGATACTAGATTAATGAAGTGGACTGCTGGCGATCAATCTAAGTAAAGAAAAAAATCAGTTGGCATCTTTATAAAGCACGTCTGAGTTGCCGAGATTTTCAGGGCACCAGAGTGAAGGTGTTTACATCGGAACGTGATGCGACGTGAGCGATGGTTACTTCTTAAAACCGGTCATTTTCGAGTGGCTTTTCCTGGCTATATATATCTATCAGGTGGATCGATAGTCTAGGATCTCCGGAGATAATTACCGGTAATGGGGCAGGTGATGTTGCCGCCTCCGGGGAGCACGGATTCCGCCATTACTGCCGAACTGGAGTGCAGTAGAAAGAGGGGAAAGAAAAAAAAGCAACTAATGTTGCAGTGTGATAGGAGTGGGTCGTGATACCATTGTTGGTTGTGTCCTAATGGTTCCCCCGTCTTTGCTCACTCCTTCTGCCAGTAAATGGCCAGTAGAACAATCTCACACTGAGATTTCTTCCTACCTGTAAATATCTTTTCTGGTCGGCGAATTATGGGCCACTGATACGGATTTTAGCGCATTTATAGGTGTAAGAGTCGGCTAGAAACGATTTTCACGGCGATAGATAATAAACACGAATTGCGTCCTCTATAATACTTACGTAATGAAGTGAATAAAATCTCTGTCCCATTTTCTTTGAGATGAGGAAGCTGTTTTTCACATTCAAATATTCCAAATATTTCTCATGACATAAATTTATCAAGTTTTTCCCTTCCCTTTTTACTTTCTCAGTTTCATTCTTTTTACAAAGAAAGAGAGAAAAAAGAAACGTGTAGTTACAGAAAGCAAAACTTTCATAAACTGCTTTAGGGAAAATATCAAGAGTTAAAAAAACTAATTTTTTAAATTTCATAGATAATGTTTTCGGTTTTTGTGTTGGTTGTTCCGAAAATTTTTACATTTGATAAAGCTAGTTCTTTTTTTTAAATTACAAAATAATGAAAAATAAATTAAAAATCAAAAACAAATCAATGCTTTTGATTATTTCATTGGCTTTCATTATTGAAATAATCTTCCGAATCACTCAAATGATTTCAGAATTTAAAGCTACGTATTTATAAAGGTCGTTGACCACGTAGTTTCTTTATTTGATTAAGTAAATTTTCAATTAAAACAATGTAGACAATCTCTCTTAATTCTTTTACTCGTTTAATACCAACCTTTAAGACAAAGTAATCCATCTTTGTATTCATATCAATAGACTCTATAACATTAATATGTAAAAAAACAGTCATATTCTTTTGATAATTAGTCATCGCTTGACAGATAATGATTAACATACAAACACGCACAGTTTTAATAACTTGGAAAATAATATTTTTTAAAGATAATAATTAATATTAAACGTTGTATCGTTCTCAATCAAATTAACACAAGTTCGATAACTGTTGTTCAATTTTGATACATTTTTCAGGTAATTGTATAATGTATTAAACATTTTTTAAAGATATCATCGCCATCATAAAACAAGATAATCGCTATTGTTTACGATTATCGATGCTTCACGTGTGTACAGAAATGTTATTATATTAGTATTTAATTTATACTACGAAATTTAAATTTTTTTATGGGATATTTTATTACTTTTGCATTTTCAATAACAGATCTTCGTAAATAACATTAAATATGCCAAACTTTAAATTAGCTTGCCATTTCATTACACGCTAAATTTCCGTTATGAAAATATAAACTGTATTTATTCGATCCTACAAGTAAAATTAATTATATATAAGTTGATAGAATGGAATATGTAAATTATTTACGATTAAGTATAATTACTGTCGACACTTAATATACATAAGACAACCACTTATACTGCGACTAGGCGAGGAATCGGAAACAAAACTTACATAAATCTCCTACGTTTACTGTGTGGACTATTAGTCAAGGGTACTTGGGTGGTGGGTGCCGCTTGCGTAGCAACGTCTCCGACACTTCCCACACCCCCCACCGGCGGGGCGATGTACGTTGTCGGTGGGGTGTAATGGGGTGGACCGGCGTAGGTGAACATGACGATCACACCGTCCTCCTCAACCGCATCACACGCGCACAACACATACACATTCACACGGACAGTAGAGATACCGTGACCGAACGTGGAGACGGCCGGCTGCTAACTGGAGTGGCGCCTGCTACCCAATGCCGGAGTAATGGGGTGGAGCCTGGTGGACGACCCACGCCCCACAGGAGGCGGTCTCTCTACCTGCACTAACATTGTTTCCGTCGTCGTACTATGATCTTTGACGAGTACTTAGTGTGTAATAAAGTCAAGTAACAGAGCGTTTATAGTCGCAGATATTTAAAAACGCCGACTAGAAATCGAATCCATTCATCTTACCGAAGTCAAATTTTTCTTTCCAGGAGGGACGATCACTGAGCCATAGACACATGGCGTGTTAGAAGAAACGGAAATTGTATTCTTAGATCGGACATTTCTCCCGATATCGGAGCGAGATAAGTTTTTCTTCTTCACCCAGCTGCAGGTGGACCGGATGCAATGGGTCACGAAAAGACCCTCGGGCCAAACGTCTCTATTGAGATGTATTCACTGTCACCTGGATATTGTCTTGAAAAAGCAGACTGACTAATGAAAGCGAATTACATCTGTGGCGCCTGTCAAATGACAGCGTATTACCGCAACGTAAAGCTCCCGTAATTTAATTTTCAGAAATGGCATCGGCTTTTGGACTAGTTTGTAGTATTCCATGCCGACGAACGAAAGAATCGAGAGAAAAAACAAGTCAACGCGAGTGGGAGATCGTTCCCACGGTAGATAGAAGGAGACAATGGCAGAATGGGGGTGGAGAACTAGGCACGATGCAACAGAAACCGGGTCAATGTGGTGGGAGACAGATGTCGTGCATCGTCAAACAATAGACGGGACTTATTTCTGCCTTCCTAAATATAATGACGAATAGTAGTTAACCGAAAGTGAATAAAACATATATATATATATATATAAACTATATATATATATCTCAAAACATTACACGCGGTATAACTAATTTTTTCCCCTCCTAAAAACTTTTGTTCATACGTTCAATAGATGGAGACACCGTCATTCTAACAATTGCCCGAAGGAAATTGCTATACAAAATAAATTTGCATCCATTTTCATTTTTCATAGGAGCGGAGGTACAACAGAGCGTGCCTCACAATCTGTGGATGATGAAAAGATATTCTCTACACTAGAAAAATGAGATTAAAATTCAAATTTAACTGTGATAGAACATTCATGCCTGTGATAATAAAACTACGATGTTCTTTGTATACGTCCAAGCAACTAGGAACGAATTTGAGTGTTGCGTAGAATCATCACGTTAATTTCATTTATTACTATCTCGTTACTCAAAAAAAGTTAAAATATCAATATATTTGTCGATCACTTATCTTAAATTTTAGCCAAATAAAAAGTTATTTATGCTAATTCGACAAGAAAATAAATATTAACCGGAAAGATACCATGTAATTCATCTGATTGCAAGATCAGAAGTAAACGAATCGATATTTAATCTTGTAACTTGTTGGAAATCATATAATTCGGCTCATCACTTCCGATAAAATCGCTTAAAGCACGACGAATTACATTTATCGCACAGCATCGTCATTAATGCTTGGAGGAGAGTTTAATGTCGATAGTTAAATTTGTAAGGTGGTAATATCAAATAACGTTAAGGAATAATAGATTTTCTGCAATGAATCCGTTTAAATATATTCTAGAATTTAAATTTCCCTCACTGATTATTGTATACTTGATAAACTTTATGTATGTGAAGTACAATGTAAACTTTTTTCTTTGATAATTTATGGCGTTTTCAGAGAGATAAAGCTGTTTCATCTTTTCCAATCCAGCGACCACCGCGGTCAAAAAGGTCATAAAAAGTATTATTTTGTCTCTAATAACGATTCATTGGATGATTTTATAGATGATAACTTGAACTGGTTTAAAATTTTCGGAATTAAATAATGTGTTCAGACAATTTTCTTTTTGCCAAAGAATAATCTAGTCAAACGAATATAATAATAGTGCAAACAAAAGTATCTTTAACTCTTGGAGTTTATGAAACTTCGATAGTAGTTATTAATAAAATCATGTATGAAAACAAAGGAAATATATATTTATATATATACGTATATATAAGTTCAACTATTAAAACAATTAACATTGAAGCTTATTCACAAATAATGTGGCATTCTATTCGGATGCAATCACACAAGGAGTAAACCTACTAACTATTTTAGAACTTTTTTTCTACTTTTTTAAACAGTTAGTAGCTTTATTCCTTGTGTGATTGCATCCGAACAGAATGCCACATTATTTGTGAATAAGACTCAACTTTAATAACAAGTATATACGGATCTAGATACTCACTGAAGAAATATCAAAACAATATTATGCAATTTGTGAATGCAGAATTTCAAAATTATTGCGATAGTATAATTAAATGAAAATTATTACATATTTTATTACTGGAAATGACTATTGAAAACAGATTTATCCACACAATTTACATTTTCAAACTTCACTCAAACAGTTTTAAATTTTTTATCGCGGATTAGAATCCATTTGGAAAATTCGTAAACGACAAAAATATAACTATTAATCAAGCCATCACGAGATTAATGATAAAAGAGAATAAAGTGCTAACTTAAAACCGGTTCTGAAGTTGGGAGTCATAAAAACATATTGTACAGACACAACTTATCAAAAAAAATTACAATTTGATGGATTTTTTTTATTAAAAAATGTATTCAAAGAAATGAATTCGTTTTACAATTGTTTTCGGGGTTTCCCGACAATATCTCTGATAAAAATTCAATAAAATTAATGTCTTTATTGTGTATAGTTGATTACGTTTTCATTTTTCAAAACACAAGACTGTTCAACAAACAAAAACAGCTTGCAAATTATTTCAATAGAAAATAAAGGATTAGAGTTAGCTATTTAGGATAAAAACTTAATTTTTCTCAGCTCAATATGAAGCTAAATATATTTAGTATGATCAAACCGATGCTTTTAGAATTTAAAGAAATTCTAAAGACGTTTGGTTAATTAATAATTATAACTCAACTTATTACAAGATGAATTTGGAAGCGGATTATAGTTAAAATATCAGATTTTAAAAAAGAATAATTTTCGATGTTTCGTATGAAATCGAGAAAAATCTTTTTTCCTATTAATTTGTATTTGTTAGTAGAGACATCATTTTACGGGTTATATAGCCTATACAGTATATGTATACAGTTTCAATTTTGCCCATTGTGTATCCTGATCCGCAAGACTGATGGGCTTACGAGAAGGTGTCTGAACCGAATCATCGAAACACTATTAGGATCCAAATCGGGTTTCCTAGGTGTGGAAGAAACCTACCCGACTCTCACTCAACTGATTATTATTACTAACATTAATCATTTGTATATCTAGAGTTCCATTGTTTGTCAAACGAATGCAAACCAAAACCGGGTTAGTTAATTATTTTTAGTGGGCTAAATTGTATGACTATTAACAATTATTCAAATTTCAAAATTCACTGCTTAGTAAATCTTTATACTCAAATATTCCCAAGTTAATATACTCACAATATAATTATTTACTTTGCTAGAATGCGGTTTCACGAAATAAAATTTAAAAAAACATCGAAGATTTAATGTAATTTCAACTCATATTTAACATAATATAATAATGAAACGAGAAAAGACAGCTGCCTAAAAAAACAACAGCATCGGATAACAAGTTTTTAATATTTAAATTTATTATTAATAAATTAAACAAGACAAATGAGAAGTCCGATATAATTAATCATAAACATCACTTAAATTTCCTCAAATTTCCAGATCACGCCCCAGACAGACATTTATATTTTTTCTATACTTTCACTTTTCATACAATTCAGTCACCTGGAGACAATGTTGGGAGGTTACATTGTTATACGCCGTAGGTTAAGGAAATAGTTTTGGTATGATAACCAAAGTTAAGGACATTTCAGCATTATCGCTCAACCATACAGAAAAGTCGGCCGGAACCGTAATCAGGAAAGATTACTGGAAAACTTCTCCAATGCGTAAAATGTATTAAACAATTGCACTGTATAATTTTCATTTCTATAACCATAAAGTAATAGTTTAAATAAACAACTACATTTAAATAAATCAGTTTTCGTATTTAGAAAATTAATCTGTAAGTGATGTAGTACAGTATTAAGATGATAATTGATAGAATCAATGAATTATAAAAACGTATCATTTTAAACGCCTTATAATAACAACTAATGTCAACGTTGGAAAAATTCGTGTAATATAGCCGATATCTTAATATATTTGAGAGAAAATAGCAATATTTTCAGTTTAGGGCAAACATTTCTTTTATTTAAATTAATGGTAATTTTGTCCTCGATTTCTCAGAATTCACTTTGCCGAGTTTTTTTTTTTTTTTCAGGAAAGCATTTCACTCGTAAATCTGGGAAACAAACACATAGTTGAATTATAATGAATTATTATTAAATAAAATATTTCATTTAATTTTTTTGTTGAAACATATGTTTTGTAAAATTTTTATAATAGTATTTAAGTTTTATTGACAAAATTATTCACTTTCTCAATTTGTCTCAAATTAGTAATACCTAAAATAATGGAAAAAAAATAGTTTCATTAAGAAGACAGACTGTTTGTTTTCCTGTTTAGATAGACAAGGAAGTCTCATAGAAAAATTCATATTTTCGTTCTTCATAAAGAAAAGGTTAAGCTTAAAATATAACATTTTGGTCATTGTTTTAATTTCTTTTCCCACTCAAAACTGTTTCAAGTTATATTTTATCCTGAAAAATTACTTCTCCATATTAATAATTCATATATATATATATAACTTGTCTTTAAACACATTAAAATATTTTAAAATTATTCTATGTATTATTTATAGTCTTTGTTAACAGCAGAGACTAGTATCAAATTTCACGAATTCATTCATTAGTTTTGACATATTTATCGATTTCACTTTTCGAATAATCGCACCTGATCTGTAACACTGTTTAGACATTGCTCTTAACTTGTCTTTGCTGAATCTCTTCTACTCTCAATTTCTTTTTTTATTTAAACTATTTTCAAAACCATTTGATGTAATAAATTCAAAATGCATTTTTCTGATTTATTTACTTTTAAAGCATTTTCAAAATATGAATAATATAAAATTCATTTCTGGTTGATAAAGTTACCAGAAATTTATCACATTGTCATTGTCAATACTATAAGAATTTATTTGTTTCAACATAAGTTTCGGTAAGCAAATTTTAAACCAAACGTTTATAGGATTTTAAAGCCTACCTATAGTTTGTCAAATTTGAATTACATTAAAATTAATAACGCAAACTTTAGTGCATAGAAAAAGATAACAAAACAATAACAGAAACCGTATATATATATATATATATATCTCCCCAAACACCTCAACAGTATTTAGTTAGATTAGCAAGTTTTCGGTTGGCGAACTTATAATCCAAATTCCTTTTATTCCCCTTTCCTCCGACGATCCGGCGTGAGAATAGCAGAAATGCCTCCAGCGTTGGAAAGCTACTACCAACACCAAGAGCCGCCTCAAGGTTGTAAGGCGACAGGTGGTAAAAAGAAATGTTCAAGGCCACTATCGGAACTGCGTAATCATGTTTCTAATCGATTTCTATCTTATAACATATTTAACACGGATACGTATTCGCATCTCAATCTATCTTAAAACATCTTTTCAAAAGGAAACATTTTTCCTTAATCCAAAAACACTTTGAAGGATAGTTGCCAGTGCATTTCCGATTCTATACGTACGATCCAATCTACCGAGTTATATTTTATACACGAGGCTTTAAAATTTTTAGATTCCTTACGGAATAAAGGACGAGACGATGCGCAGTTACGGTCTCTTCATAA